CTAAATATGTAGGATTGTCAAAAGCAACATCTTGACAGCAGAGGTGCTGGGACTGAAAGACATGTGGCTGCTGAGGAAGAGCACCCGATTCAATAGAGTGGCTGTGTCTATGTCGTGCTGTCATTGTAAAGGGAGGGCAGACAGTTCTGGGACTTCCCCAGATCCTCTCTACTATACAACAGCCTGATTTCCCAGAAATGATGCTGCGCTCTGACATGCTGAACCGACCAATAGGGGCGCTAGGTGCTGTGCAGGGCGGGATCCGTCCCTTTATACATGGGGACACGGAGCCCCTACACGTTGCTGTTCTGGGACACCTCTCAGAACTGTTCTGTCTTCTGGGACTGAGCACTGCACACAGCACTGCAATTAATCATCATCATCAACTCTGCAACGGCTCTCAACAGCAGCAGGTAGGGATGGGATGAAAGTCTGCTGGTGCAGTGTTCTAGGCTGCAGAACATTGAGGGGGGCTAGGTGAAATAAGTGGGCTCAGTGTGATACCTGGGGCTCAGGACAGGCTCATTCTGCCTTACTGTCCCTTTAAACCAACTGGAAGGTGACAACATATTCACAGTAAAGTAAGAATGCTCCATGTATAGCACTTTATTTCATGTAATATACTTTTGATTTGCACATGCATACTTTACTGTGAATATGTTGTCACCTGTCAGTTGATGCAGATTTAAAGGGACAGCACAGCTATTTCTGCTGTATTTTGTGTTGAATATTGGGGTAGCAGCAGTCCTTTTTATTTGTATGGACATGGAGCGCAGGTTCTTCTTGTGTTTTGCTGCCTTTGGATTGCATTGTGCACCCAGCACGTACAAGGAAGTTCCCAGAGAAAAAAATAAGACGAGTAGGGGGAGGGCAGGCATGGATCAAGGCTGCTTGGCTTTATCTGTACATATACATGGGGCTGTATAGAGGTGGGGGCTCTGCATATGGGAATATAGAGGGGGGTGTTATCAGTGGGCTATGCACATGCTCATAGGACTGTTAGTGGGGGCTGCAGAGAGGTGGGTGTGTTACTAGGAGGTCTCTTCATATAGCTCTGCACAGGCAGACAGAGAGAGAGGGTTGTGTTATTAATGAGGTCTCTGCACATGTACATAGACTAGTAATGGGGGCTATAGGAGAGGTGGGTGTGTATCCGTAGGGTCTCTAACTACAGATCTCTGCACATGGGACCAATATAGGGGACTACAGAACGGTGTGTGTATTTATAATAATGACTCTGCACATGCACAGGGGACTAAAGTGGGGGCTACTTAGAGGTGGGTGTGTTTATAATAACCAGATCTCTACATGTTATCTGTATATGCACATAGGACTTTTAATGAGGACTATAGAGAAGTGGGTGTGTTATTAGTGGGGTCTGCACATGTGCATGGGACTATTAGTGGGGACTATGCATAGGTTAATGTGTGTTGTTAGTGGTGTCTGCACATGGGACTAATAGTGGGGACTCCTGAGAAGTGGGTGTGTTATTAGTTCATCTCTGCATATGACAGGACTATTAGTGGGGACTACAGAGAGGTGGGTGTGTTATTAATGAGTTCACTGCACATGCTCTTGGGACTATTAACGGGGGGGGGGGGGGTTATTAGTGCTGTCTGTACATGGGACTAATAATGGTGCTATAGAGAGATGGATATGTTATTAGTGGGGGTCTGCACATGCACATGGAACTATAGGGAGGGGGGATATTATTATGTTATTAGTGCTGTCTGTCCATAGGATTGTTAATAGGGACTATAGAGAGGTGGATGTGTTATTAGTGGGGTCTGCACATGCATATGGAACTATAGAGGGGGGGGGGGGGTATTATTATGTTATTAGTGCTGTCTGCACATAGGATTGTTAATAGGGACTATAGAGAGGGGGGGTGTGTTATTAGTGGGGTCTTGACATAGGACTATTAATGGAGACTATAGAGAGGGGGTGTGTTATTAGTGGGGTCTGCATATACACATGGTACTATAGAGAGGGGGTGTGTTATTAGTGGGGTGTGCATATACACATGGTACTATAGGGAGGGGTATGTGTTCTTAGCGCTGTCTGCATATAGGACTGTTTATGGGGACTATAGAGAGGGGGTGTGTTGTTAGTGGGGTCTGCACATGGGACTATTAATGGGGAATACAAACAGGTAGGTGTGTTATTAATGAGGACTCTGTAAATGCACATAGGACTACAGAGGGTGTGTTATTAGTGGGGTCTGGAAGTGGGACTAATAGTGATGACTATAGAAAGGGGGGGGGTGTTATTAGTGGGGTCTGTACATGCACATAGGACTATAATAGGGGTGTTTATTATTAGTGAGGTCTCTGCACAGGTACATAGGACTAATAATGGAAACTATAGAGAGGTGGGTGGGTTTATCCATGGGGTCTCTGCACAGGTAAATAGGACTAATAATGGAAACTATAGAGAGGTGGATGTGTTTATCCATGGGGTCTCTATACAGGTACATAGGACTAATAATGTTAACTATAGAGAGGTGGGTTTGTTTATCCATGGGGTCTCTGCACAGGTAAATAGGACTAATAATGGAGACTACAGAGAGGTGGGTGTGTTCATTCATGGGGTCTCTACACAGGTACATAGGACTAATAATGTTAACTATAGAGAGGTGGGTGTGTTCATTCATGGGGTCTCTACACAGGTACATAGGACTAATAATGAAGACTATAGAGAGGTGGGTGTGTTCATTCATGGGGTCTCTACACAGGTACATAGGACTAATAATGAAGACTATAGAGAGATGGGTGTGTTCATTCATGGGGTCTCTACACAGGTACATAGGACTAATATAGTTGACTATAGAGAGGTGGGTGTGTTCATTCATGGGGTCTCTACATAGGACTAATAATGGAGACTATAGAGAGGTGGGTGTGTTCATTCATGGGGTCTCTACACAGGTACATAGGACTAATAATGTTGACTATAGAGAGGTGGGTTTGTTTATCCATGGGGTCTCTGCACACAGTTATCAGTTGGTGTTAGAACTTTGAGTCTTGTGTATGTGACCTGAAGTCTTGTTGTTGGACAGAGATGATGACATGTGGCTCCCTGGGGACACAGCTCTAATTATGGAGCAGCACATAGCTGCTATTTAGCAGTTGCTGTTGTGGAAAGTACAGTGAGTGTGTATGGCTGGGCCCTTCCTATTGTATGGAGAAGGTTATTTGACTCTCTTACACACTAGGTTCAGTAATTGTCCACGTGGTGGTGCCACTCTAGCAGATGTCTTGTGTTCAGGAGGAAGTGCTGGTGTCATTCAAAGTTCACTCAACTGTGTAGAGATTGCAAAAGAAATGTTTTAACAATCTAGGAAAGGCCCTAAATTATACAGACTATAAATAAAGGGCAAGAATGCAGCAAAGTGTAAACATCATATATAGATTGAGCAATTCATCGGTATTAAAGGATTAGAGGCTGTTCAGTTAGCAAAGTGTATGTGCATACACCATATACACGAACAAGCCAAGGCAGGACGTCCATTGTTCATAAATATAGGTTAACACAATACAGGGTTACTGTGGAGCTTGCATAGATGATGGGGATAGTTACTCCTGGGGGCACAAATGACATTCAGCTAATTAATGATCTGAAAAGAAACTTGTACTGAAAAAAATATGTAGGCTGTCACTGAGCACGTTATCTTCTGAAAATGCAACTTGCCTGGCTGTCTCTGGCTTTGAATTGCCTAAATATGTCAGTGTATATGACTAGTATATACAGGCATAATGGGCCATATCCAGCTGTATTGTGGCCCCCAGGAGCTACAGGTGTATACAGCTGCCTGTGCAAGTAAATTACAGGATACAACTGTACACAGGTATATGCAGCTCTGAGCATAAACACAGGTATGCATGCGGGCGAACACCCCTGGATGCAGACACTTCCATGGGCCCAAATTCCATGCATGTATGCACGATTATGCTCAGAACTGCATATCTGCATACAGCACTACCATGCAACTCATTTGCATAGGTGGCTATACACAAAACCTGTGGCTTCTGGGTGCCAAAACAGAGCCACATTTTACATTATATTCTCCATTTGCCCATATATCTACAGATAGTAGTGATAAGCACTTAGAGGGCACCCTGTATGTTGCTCTTTCTGATAGCCAGAAGAACATGTGGGCAGTTTTAAATTAAAAAAAAGTTTTGTAGTGCTGTTTTGGTGGATTTATTTTTTTGGTGGAAGGGGGGAAATGCTTTTATATGTACTGCTTGAAGTTCTGCAGATATGAATCTGATCACTTACTGGACTTTGTTTTCTTGAGATAAATTAGACCAGGCAAATGACAGGTGGCTCACTGAGTAAACTGTTCTTGGCGGCAAACGTTGACCACGCCTGTTCTGTAAAGTAAATAAATAATAGGGGCAGTGTTAGCATAGCAGGCAGTGTGTTCAGTGAGATCATATTGTAGTGCTCTACATACAGTAGACATTCTATTAATAGAAGGAAGCGTCTGCTGCCTACATTGAGACACAAAATAAGAAATAGCACGTCTATAGGATTGGCATTATATATATTGTATTACATATATATATATATATATATATATATATATATATATATATACACATATACACACACATATATATATATATATATATATATATATATATACATACATACATCTATATACATATAAACACACATATACCAGCGTTTTTGGATGTTTTCTTGGTAAAAAGAAAAAAAAACGCGGCTAAACGCTAATGCAAAAACGCTGAAAAACTCAAGTTTTTAACGTGACTTTACACAGCTAACATTACCAGCGTTATTAAAATGCCCAGTGTGCATAGAGCCTTAGGCTTTTACATGGTATGAGCAGAAATAATTCAAAAGATCTAGTTACAGATCATTTGCTAAGCATGCTAAAAGTTACTCTGCAAAGTATGTTCACTTACAAAAAAAGAACATTGCATTACAATAACTGATTAATATTGATAATAATATTGTTGATACTCCACAGCAGAATGCCTAGCACCCGTTTAAGGATGAGACCTTGGCTCGAGAACAAGATTGAATCTAAAACAATCCCAGGTCTTTCATGGCTTAACAAGGTACTTATTCTTTTATTGTGCGATTTATTGCAAGCCTACCGTGTGACTATGTATACTAATTGCAGTCTGCTAATCCCTGCAGGAGGAAATGATCTTCCAGATCCCATGGAAGCATGCTGCACGGCATGGTTGGGACATGGACAAGGATGCCTCTCTTTTCCGCAGCTGGGCTATTCACACAGGTAAGGTTCAAAGGTCATGTTTGGTTTTTGAAACTAACATTTACCTTAGTGATACCACAGTTCCTGTTTTAGCTGGGGTCAGCACATTTGAATGGTGGAGTCAAAATGACAAGTAATTGAGTAGTGCTTTGAATTGCTGTCTACTCTAGTCAATGATTCAAAAGTAACTAAAAGTCCAAATATTCCCTGTCAACCACTTTCTCTAAGCTTATGTCAATCATCCACAGCTCTTTTATTTTTATTGCATCACACCAAAACAACATAGCCCAAAGTAATTATTAGTATCTTTTATATTATTATTTGTATTATTATATTATTTGTATATATTACATATAATCTATATACGATATATATATACATATGTGTGTGTGTGTATGTATTATTAGTATACATTATATTATTATATGTTATTATTATTATTATATATATATTAGTATTTTCAGCTAAACTCCAGGCAGCTATAAGCTAAATACAACGTTGAAATATATATTAAAGGACTATTTTACATGTATGCATGCATTTTGTGATGCAGGCACACCTGTCACACAGCATAGCCATGTTAGTGACGTTGTTTTATATTCTGCTGCAGTAAAGATTTGTTACCAATTTGTTCTTAGTTTGTGACTGGACAGTAAAAGAGAAGCAGCACCCTGAAGTGATCTCTTTGCTCTCTTTTCCTGCGTTCGCTTTTTAACTGTTAACTAACTGCAGTGAGCAACATACAAAAGATTGTATTAAAGTGAAACTTTACCCACAACAATTTGATTTAAAAAAAATGTTCCTTAGCAAGGAACATTTGCTGAAGCCCAGAGCCCCTGTGCAGCAGTAAATCTTTAGTATGTCAACAGATTGGCCTCTACAGTTTTGGCACAGTGCCAAAAAATAGAGAGCAACTGAGCATTTGCAGAGCAGGGTGAGACAGTGTATTACTGAATTTTAAACAGTGTAGGCACTTATTTTTAATGTTTTACATAGCTGTACCTGCAAAAGAGGCCAGTCTTACGTGATCTAGCAGAACTTCCATTTTCTAATCAAAGTTCCACTGTAAAGTACTTTCATAGCTAAAGCATTTTGTTTAATTTTGGATAGAATATGGTAGGGTGAAAACTAATTTCCGTTTATTTTCTGCTGCTGTCTGTTTCCCATTGGGGTGATTTCCTCTTCAAAGTAAAGAGCATTTCCCTTTTAGACAGTTGTCACTGGAATGGATGTCATCAGTGAAAGATTTGCCCCCACCTCTGGTTCTGGTAACACATTGGTTATCAGGACAAACAGAGAGGGTGAATCTATTGGGCAGCACAGTGGCTAAACGGTTAGCACTTCTGCCTGGCAGTACTGGGGTTGTCAGTTCGAATCCCAACCACGGCACTGCCTGCCTGGAATTTGCATGTTCTCCCTGTGCCTGCTGGGTTTCCTCCTACACTCCAAAGACATGCTGGTAGGTGAATTGGCTCCTGTCTAAATTAGCCCTAGTATGTGTATGAATGTGAGTTAGGGAGCTTAGATTGTACGCCCCTTGAGGTTAGGGACTGATGTGAATGTGCAACATATATGTAAAAGCACTGCGTAAATTGACGGCGCTATATAAGTACCTGAAATAAATAATAAATAAATACCCAACAAGGACACACAGACAGAAAACAATTTTGATAGAGGTACTATATCCAAAACAAAAACAATAACGTTTTGGCCATACATAAATATTAGTGCTGCCTCTTACTGTCCCATTGTAAATACTGCTGTGCATTGGATTTCAGAAGGCTGATATAAGGACAAATTATGGTATTTACTTAAATACATTTTTAAATTTTACTGTACCTATAACTGGACTAAATAGTGTTTTTATATCTGCTTGAAGATCAGCTTTAAGTGATATGTTGGGTAAACCTGTATGACCGTCAACTGTGCAGATGTTGACTGTAAGTTTGTGGTAACAGACTTTTTAGTACCTTATCTGCGTTAGCAGCTATGTCCTGTATTACATGTCTTATGTAAGAAGCCATAAGTCTGCGACAGAAACCATAAATAACCCCTCAGCACATAATCTTTGTATATTCTGAAAAGGAAAAGCTTAGTTTGCACAAGTCTTTCCTGACACTAGCCATAGACCTCTAGGGCCTTTCTTTTGAAAGATCTTTCCATAAAAATGCACACTTGGATCACTGGAGTGAGTGTCCTGATATATCTCTGGGGAAAACAGTTGCAAGTGGCCAGCAAACTCCCAACCCAGCTGCCTTGTTCTGCACAAGTCCATCAGTGTTATGAATACTCATGAATGTACGATTGTTTACTGATCTGACTGTAACTAGCCGGATTGGGCAGTTTTTATCTCATGTGTCTGATAATGTTTTCTTTGCAACTGATGCAATAGATTTAGAACAAATTTAAATGACTTGTGGTCTTTGGGTAGTGTTGGAAAAAGTAGTTAGTCAATAGTGAATAACTGCCGAACCACTTGTCACAAATTCTGCTTTCAAATCTTTCATGCTGTTATTAATTCTTATATTTTCTCTATACAGGAAGGTATAAACTGGGTGAGAAGGAACCTGATCCTAAGACCTGGAAAGCTAACTTCCGCTGCGCTATGAATTCTCTTCCTGATATTAAAGAAGTGAAGGACAAAAGCATCTACAAAGGGTCTAGTGCTGTACGAGTCTATAAAATGCTGCCAGCAACAATTAAGACAGAGAAAAAAGGTACTACACTCTTTATATTCAACATTTTACCATTGTCAGAACTGTGATAAGTAATTGATGCTTGGCTACTAAGGGTTAAGCTGGCCAATGGTCATCCACGCTTTGGGCAAATGAAAAGAATCAGATTTCTCCATCGACACTATACAGTGTGGATAGATGACTCTCTTGCTGCGGCTATTATATTTTGACAGCTGGCTCCACCAACATCCATATCAAAATATAGAACGAGCTGTAGTTTCTGATTTGATGCAACCACTGTTCAACTGACAATTATCTGCCTGTCTCCTTCAATTTTTAAGCCTAGGTTCACACTGATGCAGTGCGGGGGACCGTGTGTAATTCGGGCAGGAATCACACCGCATTTCTGTTCAAATCACATGCGATTTTTGTTGCAGTGCAATTTGAGCCTATTAATTTTGCATGGCTCAAATCGCAATGCACCCACACGAAAAAGGTGCATGCACCTTTTTTTTTCTGCACTGTAATCAGTTCGAATGGGTGTTGACACCCATGCGATCCAATTCAACCAATCGCACTGCGTTTTGAGAACCGTTTTTGGGGTGTTGATAACTTTGACGCCCGCAGCGATTCACATGAATGGAGTGCAATTGTATTGCAGTGCAGGAAGCACACGGGAATCACTGTGAATCCCGCATTCATCAGTGTGAACCTAGGCTAAATCAAAGGATGTCGAGTGGGAGAGTGATGCAGAACCACCCGCTGATTGAATTTCCTTGGGTTCTTCAAGAACTGACTGTGATTTGCATAGTGTATAGCCAGCTTTACTGTGCAGTGTGCAAGTTTTGCAAGTCTTACTCATTACAAGAAATTCAGCCATCCTAAGACATAAGATGGGTTTATTATATATGTTCTTACTATATGTCAGTAAATACACCATTGAACATTATATAAATGCATACATTTTATTTAATCTAGGATCTAAAAAAAATTATGAAAAAATATACATTTTATACTGTACTAGATGCGTAATAAAACTTCTATATGATAATCAGCTCCTTGCTTTTCTTTTATAGAACGCAAGTCTAAGTCCAACAAAGATACCAAGAGCAGATCCCGAAAGAAGGTACGGCCTTAGTACTTTGTGCAGTTATGTGTTCCATCTGTCAGCACCTGCACAGTGTCTGTTTGGTGGTTAACATGTCTGCTGTTGTGCTTTCCTGTTATAGGTTGACAGCTTGTCAGCAGATGAGGTGGAAGAAGCAGTGAAAAACTGTCAACTACCGGAGGATCACAGTGGTTACACAGCGACTGATTACTCAGTACAGGAAGCTACTTGCAGTTCAGATATAGGTGAGTGTAAAAAGCCACCACTTCCATGGCACTCTCATATCAAGCTACCACTGAAATAGAAGAGAAGGGAGGATAATGTGTGATCAGTTGTTAAAACAGATTGCTATATAAATATGTTAGTATTTCTCAGTCTTAGTGACTAGCCTAGTTTGTGAAAATAAAATACACCCTGTGAATATCTTGCTTACTATCACATGGCAGGAAGTCAAAATAGAGGTTCTGCCTGTGAGAGCCAATCAGATTCTTGCTTTTATGATCTCATTTGAATATGACTGGTTATTTTTATTTTCACCTTCACTTTTATAGACTAAGAACTAATTAGAGTGTTACCACTCTGTCCCTGGTCATTGTTGTATTGATCACATGATGCTTGATGTCAGATATAAAAAAGACTATCTTTAACCTTATCAGTGTCTGCATAAAGTATAATGTAAATATTTGTTTCAGGTGTGAATCAGTCTGATGTCACCAGCAGCATGTCACCATGGGATGATCAAATGGAAATGCAAATACCTGACAGCACAAATGACACTTACCACTTCCAGGTGTCACCCATGCCATCAAGCTCAGAAGGTAATGGCTATAATTTTTATTAATAAAAGTGCTAATAAAGCACAAAATAAAATATATGCTAAATAACTCCATTAAATGTACAACATAGTCGCATAATCACTTTAGAATACTGCCCTGGGCAAGTTTGTATTGATCAGTCTCCTGAACAGTTCTCGTTAGCGTAGTATGGTTGATACATTGTAAAAAATAACAGCCCCATACTTCACTGTCCTAGCAGAAATAAGGCAAAACTACACTGAACTAAAAAAGGCTCCTTTTGAGTAATTTGATAATGCATGTTTTTCAATTATTTATAGCACTGCCAAAACATAGCTTTTCCGATGCAAAGAACTAAATAGAAAGTATACTTTTCACAGCAACTACAAAAATGGTTGCTGTAGATAAACTGTAGGCCTTATATTGCTACAGAGCCACCAATCAGCTTGAATGCTTTGTTTGAAAATAATGGAGGGAGAACAGACGTTTAAATCTAATACATCAATGTAGAGTGCTGATTGTTTAAAGTCAAGTAAAATGATGTGGAAAAAAATGGAATTATATTGTAGGGTTGTAATTAATTGTTATTTTATTTTACATCTCTAGGTGATGATGAAGATATATTATCTGACCAGGAGCTTTTAGCTGTAAGTAAACATTACATATCCAGTATTTCTATTATAATCTTGAGTTTATAATGTATTCTGTGTGCTAAACTATTTTCATTATTTAATTACAGCTTCTGGAAACAGACGCTTGGCAGCAAGTAAATGAGGGTGGCAGAGGATACTTTACCAATGAACCAGGAACAGGAAGCACTTTTGTTAATAATACAAGCTCTATGTTCGATGGCTTAAGTATAGGTATTTACTTTTTTATTTGCTTGCATTTTATTTAGTGATGAAATTAAATATCCCAGGGGAAACCGGCTGGGCTACACCCTTAAAGAAAAAACAAAATACAAACTATCAAGCTTCTAATACAAATATGGCATAAATAACACATAGTGTGTCACAGTACTGTGCTCTGCCCCCTTCACATCACTCCCCCACCACAGTAGTATCCTCTCTCCCCTCACATCACCCCCCACAGTAGTATCCTGTAACTCCTTCCCCAACAGTAGTGTCCTCTGCCCCCTTCACATCACCCTCCAACTGTTGTGTCCCCTGCCCCCGATAGCAGTTTCCTCTGCCCCCTCCCCCCGCAGTAGTGTCCTTTACCCCCCCAAGGAGTGTCTTCTGCCCCCTTCACATCACCCCCCTCCACTGTAGTGTCTGCTGCCCCCCACAGTAGTGTCCAGAACCCCCCTTCCCAAAACGGTGTCCCTTGCCCCCTCACATCACCCTCCCACTGTAGTGTCCTCCACTCCCCATAGCAGTGTCCTCTGTTCCCCTCCACCCCACAGTAGTGTCCTGTACCCCACCAAAGCAGTATCATTTCTCCCATTCACAGCATTCCTTCCCACCCCCCCCCCCCCCCCCCCCCCACACACACACACGCACACAGTGTGGCAGCACCCTCCTATCTGATAGCAGGTGTACCGCAGAGCAGAGAACAGGAGGCAGCATAGTGCTGGATGGAGGGCAGGATTGGGAGCTCCTCATTATTTCATAATAACAAGCTGATGATTGGTTGCTAGGACTGCCCGGTTTCCTCGCAACCAATCACCTGCTGGTTAACTCGAAAGGTTAATTGAGGCAGCTCCTGCCCCTCATTCCAGTACTATGCTGCCTCCTGCTCTTTGCTCTGCAGTGAACATGAGAGTGGCAAAGGCTGAGGGGAAGCAGAGCGGTGTTCACGATCTACCTGTCGGCTGCTTGCAATAGACCGGTAGATCGTGATCGATGACTTGCCAACCCCCGTTTTAGAGGATTTATTTAATTAATTTTTTTCTTGTTAAATGTGTTAAGTAGCAAGTTTATTTGGTTCAGAAATTAAATGGTAGGGCAGCAGTTTGCCTTTTAAGAAGAATAATGTGGCCCTGAGTCATGCTAAGATTTGGAAAAAAAAAATCACTCAACAAATACAAATAGTATGAACTAATGAACGTAATATAGTCTAGGCTTCCACTGCTTGGCCTTATGTTGGAATGTGAATCTGTCTGCAAATGTTTTGGATTGCGTTGAATCTTATTGAGAAGCAAATAACATTTTTGTCTTGCTATTGTTTCAGGAGAGATACAAGTTAGAGTCACTACAGACATGAAACCACTTGACTTCGCATGGCAAGAATTAACAGCCATCACCTGTTTATGAACTGTACCTGGTTCCATTAAAAAAACTATGATATGATCCTCATATTTGTGTATATGAGTCAGAAGTGGGCCATCAATGGACTGAGTCATTTTGTTGTGTTCAGTTCAAACCAGTAAATATGGGTGGTAGATTCGGGGAACTGCCCAGTCTTTAGCTGGTTGCATGTAAGCGCTGGTTACGCAGAACCTGGAAATGCATTGGAAGCATGAAGGACTAGTCAATGTTTGACGGATACTGCCTTTTGCTGATACTTGACACCAGGAACACAGCTGAGCTTGGACCTCTGGAGTTGTGAAAACACTTAACTGAAGATCGTTCACTACATTTTCAATGGCAGTCTGTCTTACTAAAAGAACTTGTACCTCGAACTGTGAAGTGAATTTTGTGTGTTGCCTACTTATCACAACATCAGGTGCCAGTTACTGCAGTGTTAGCTATAATGGTGAACAAGGAAAGTTGTGTGTGTTAATCATGTGTTTAGCCTTGTCATGTCTAGGTGCAACTGAAACTTAACATTTAGACTTTTTTACCATTTTGGTATGCATTGGTTATATTTCATTAATACTTTCTTGCTTGGCATTTCCAAATAATATTATTTTTTGGGCGAGACCATTTTTCTTTAGTAGATTGTTTATAAAATATCCAAGAAATGATCAAATGCTCTACCTAACTATCCTAATGAAATGTATTTAAATGCAGACTCCTATAAGTTATATGGAGACAGAGGAAGTTTGTAGCAGTTGTAGACTTTAATGTATTCCAATAAAGAGGGATATCCCAGGAGGGTATTACTCTACAAATGGTGAATTTGAAGGGGTATGACACACATTTTGTGCTAATCTACACTTATGTCCAAATAGTGCTTCGGGTTGACTTGTATGTTCCTGATTTGCATTTTTAGTCAAATATGTAATTGTATGAATCAGTGAAACCTTAAGGGCTCATGCAGTCCCACTATGTGAAATACTGCAAACATTCCCTGAGAGTTTTCTTAAGATGTATACATGAAGTGTATGTAAGCACATAATTTTTTCAATGCAGTAGTTTAGATCTATGGCATGCCTGAATTACTGTGAAATCAAGAAAACATTTTTAAGGGTCAGTTGACACAAAACAGATCATTTAAAATGTTGTAGATGTTGGTTAGTTCAAACGCATAACAATTTCTTGTACTACTCTTGTGGCAATATCTCTGTTCTTTGCTTGTGCTTCTTCTGGAGCAATTATACAGCTCAATAGAAAGTGGAAACTTTTGCAGAGCTGTAGGCACTAAGATATAGAAGGCATTTTGGTCGTTCACCCAGTTGCTTCATCTATAACTGAATATGGCTTTTGGGTGGGCTGACCTTTACTGGAACTGCTTTTTAACAAAGTAGTGCTGGGAGATCCAACTGCCTTGCTTTACAAGTTATTAGAGGTTTTAGTTTACAGTCATCTATCATGTGGCCAGTTTATTTAAATAAAAAAAAAAAAAAAACTGCAGTTTTGTAACTAGCTATAGAGTGATTAAATAGGAGGAATTCTGCAATTCAGTAGAAAATGTACAGTAGTAATTGTCAATAGTTATTCTCTGTAGACAGAATTCACAGGCACAACTAGATAAATGGTTATCTTAAACAAGAATTATTGATAATTACAATCCACATCACAGAGGAGAGGTGTGTATGCCCGTTTGATGTCCAAGCAGATATTGATTAACCATAAGACAAAAACATAGTAAATTACTGTTATTCTGCTCCAATACCTTTTGAATGATCTGCCTACTTGTTCTGGGCCAATAACTAGAAGGGTAGAGAAGCCATTGCATCAGAATAACAGCCCAGCAGCTAGCATTTTCAGCAATGGATGCCACCCTATTTATCTACTTAAGCAGAAATGCTTGCATGGTATATTCTATAGATAATGTTTTTCTCTTCAGTTTTCAGTTGTTATTTTGTTACTGGACAAACTCTTGTGTGAAATAGATTGATGTACAACTCCACAATTTAAAAACGTATCTTTTTTTATACTGTCATCTGACCACTTGGCCAAGTTCTATCTCCATCCAATATCCTCATTTGCCTTTCTGTATATGGCTAGCTGTTCATCACATGTACTGCACATGTCTATCTTTGTAAATACTATGTATTATTATTATTTCTTCTACAGTCAGAAATAAATTGTTAATATTGTTATGCATTTGGGCATTTTTTAAAGAAACTAGAGATATTATGTGTAAATTGAGGAAATCTTATGTGTGTGCTTCTACAAATCATAGAAGGCTGAGTGATTTCCATCCCCACAAGTAATGTAGTTAATAGTAAACAGGAAAAGCAAACTGGGTGGAGGTTTTTCGCTAACTGACACACATAAAAGAAAAGAGTTTCCCCAAGGTTTGTTCATATGCACATTTTTAACATGTAAACTTCTGATTGCCATCTACTGCTGCTTTTCAATTATTGTTAAAGCAAGTGTATTTTTTGTTGGATAGATTAAAACCCCTGGTGTGTTTTTGCTGCTATTCGGGACTTCCCCTCACTTTTTGTTTCACTGACAATGCAACAGCATCACCAATAGAAGTTTATTTTAGTTGAGCAGGGGAAGGTTAGAACCTTAGTCACCATTTTATTTCTATGTAACAAAAATGGAAATTGAAGTGCCACACCACTATTAAGAGGTCCAGATACAACTTTATTCCAATAAAAGTCAGGGGCATAATCCAAAGATGCCCCCTTCATCAGGGCTTGAAAACACTGTGAATAGACTAAAAAAGGTAGATTTACTAAAACTGGAGCACTCAGAATCTGGTGCAGCTGTGCGTGGTAGCCAATCAGCTTCTAACTTCAGCTTGTTCAATTAAGCTTTGACAATAAGGCCCTGTTCAGTCCAGGCAGACTCAGTGGGGGATCTCTCCACTAATCCCCACTGAGTAGGCAGATGACAGGTCTATGTCCACTCCGCTTTGCAGAGCAGACACAGCCCACTCTATGGGGGGGTCGGATGTAAATGGACTGCCTGTCCATTTCCATCCGACTGTCACTTGATCCGATCCTCCAGACGGATGGGGAACAGATCCCCATCCATCAGTTTTTAGCTTAGAGGATCAGGTCGAATGCCAGATGTCCGCTGCCACCTGCTACTCCACTGAGAGCTATGGATGGTCCAATTGCGTCCACCTGAAAAACTGACAGGCGGCTCAATTGGACTGTCAGTGTGAAAGGGGCCTAAACCTGGAAGCTGGTTGGTTTCTATGCTGCAGAGTTGTACCAGATTTTGCACTTTTCAGTTTTAGTAAATAACTCCCAAAGTGAACTGGACCTTTAGGCTAGATTCATATTGTTGTGATCCGATTTTGATCCGATTTCCAGTGCTTTTAGGTGGTTTGCATATTCTGTGGGGCCAAAATCATGATGGAACCGCACCAAAGTAGTACAGGAACCCTTTCCAAAATTGCACCGCGCTGAGTTACATCGCATGACAATGGAAATCACATTGTTTTCGGAAAGTGCACCATCGAAAACAATGTGATTTCCATTGTCATGCGATTGTGTGTGACTCAAGTTGCATCTGAAATCACACTAGTGTGAACGGAGCCTTAGTGTTATTTCTGCCAGAGTGATTGCAAGCACAGGCCTTGTTAGCAGCTGGTTTGACATGGCAATGTGGTGCCTATTATATTGGGAAAACAAAAAGAGAACGTTGGTAACACATCTAGGACCACATTATTGCAATGGAAATAGGTGACATGAAGTCACCAATTAGTCATATGACTCCACATGAATCCTTGAGAATATGGGAGAAATGTTTTGATGTCAAACCAGTTGCAGACAAGACCTATGTTTGTAATTATAGTTTATGCACATTATTTTCAAGTCCCCTAGAGGGCTTCTTTGGACTCAGCTACTTTTTGGAATGCTTCCTTTATTTTCATTGGAATAAAGTTGTTGGACCTTTTAGCAGTGGTGTGTCGCTTCAAATTCTATTTTTGTTGCATTACAACACAAGCCAAGAAGACCTCGTAGATCCTCTGGGGTGTAGAAGCCACTTGTCTGGGAACCACATTATTTACACAAAGATTACTTTAAGGTGACAAAACCAATAAGATAACCTCAAGTGATATTTTTCCACTTTCCTAAACTAGGTTTTATTGGTGTCAGTATCCTTGTTGCAGATTTCCCCTCACTAAAAAAGTTTTTTTTTATCCAGATATTCACTTTGAAATTTCACATTCAGATTGTTTGCAGAGTTGAAAACAATATTCTCCATATGATCCATCCAGAAAAAAGCCAATGAAAATGGCAAAGGTGGCCTTAATAAAGGGCGAGTTCTAGAAATAAGTAAATAAGAAGCTCAACTGAAGGAGTTTTGCATCTCCACCCAAAACAGTTTTTTAGTGTTAGGTGGAAATCTACCCTCCCCATCACAAGAAATGAGCTTGGCCTGTTTGTTCTCCTTTTAATTCTACATGGAATGCACTGAAAACCTCCCATTTCACTTATAGTCTGGAATTATTTGCAAACCATGAATTTGTTCATGGATAATTTTCATAACCTGTCAATCGCCAAATTATACATTGCTCAAAAAAATTAAAGAAACACTTTGAAAACACATCAGATCTCAATGGGGAGAAATATCATGCTGGATATCTATACTGACATGGACTGGGTAATGTGTTAGGAATGTAAGGATGTCCCATTGTTTGATTGAAATGAAAATTGTCACACTTTTTTAATTTGAATATTTATTGATTTTCAAAATATTAGGAAATTTAAAATCTACAGTATAAATTCTTTACATTCATATAACAACAATATCTAACTTGTACGTTAATTTCCCATATTTTCCTTATTTCTCTCAGCCCCCCCATTAGTAAAATCCAAAGTCACCCCCCTCCCTACCCTCTTTGAATAAATATTCAAATTAAAAAAAAAAAAGAAATGAAAATTGTCAACTTACAGAGGACTAAATTCAAAGACACTCCGAAAATCAAAGTGAAAGAAATTATGCAGCAGGCTAATCCA